CCCAAAAACCAACACGGCAGTCGTCAAAAACATACACACCTTGTCTAGTCCTACTCTGCATATGTTTTCACTAGATTTTCGTGCGCCTCTTCTACACCTAATACGGACACGTCTATGCAACTGAAGTTCAGACATTAAATTGACAACTAATCGTGTTTAAGATGACGAGATATGATGCAATTACGAACATGTAGCTCTAACTTTAATGGGTTACTAAGAGAGGATATAAATATCATCTATTAGGTGCTTCTAAGCGGTAGTAAATTATCGTAAACTTGTCTAGCTGCAGCAACTAGATTGATATAATTCAAGACTGCCGGAGTCCGTCGATATACCTGGTTGCGTTGTTCATTTAGGTACACAAAGGGACCATTTGATTAAAGAGTAATACCATCGATCTTAAATTTACAGTTAGGTATAATAGGCGTTCTCATCGCTATTGGAGATCTCTGTTAGGCAATCCTTGCAATAGTTTACTAATATATATATATATATAGTACTAATACATATAGTTTACTAATATAATATATAAATATATATAATATACAAACCACTTTACACTTGTAACCACTTTTCTGTAATAGATTTCCTACTAAACCAAATGCCTAATTAATTATTGGTTAATCAAATAAAAAAATACGCAAAATGTAATAAATTTGTTAAGCTTTCGAAACGCACATAAAAATACTTTAAAATGATTAACAGCGGAATACATATAGACAGCCAAGATCTATAGATTCCTGAAAAGAAATTTCCCAAGGGATTCATGGGTAAAAATTAAATTAAATAAAATCCCAAAGTAAAGTTTCCGTTCTGCGTCTGGAGCTCTGATTATATCATGACTAGGGTCGATGCTGCGTATTTTATTTATTCAATTTATTTTATGCAAATATATATAAACAAATTTTCAGTCTAAATCAGTCTAATAGTCAACTCTAACCGATTAACACCACGACGGCCATGAAAGAGTTAATCAATTTGACTGTTATTTTTTCTAGGCCATGTTACGAAATGTCTATGCCATGTCTCTTATATTTAATTAAATTGATTATGTCCTCTACACTATTTAATTTATATATTTTTTTATACATACGTGTGGAAAATATTCTATTTCTAAGAGTCATCATCATCATCAACAGCCTTTAATAGTCCACGGCTAGACACAGGCCTCTCCTTAGAAAGGAGGTTTTGGACTCCTATACTATTTGACTTTTCTAAGGAGAGGCCTACGTCCAGTAGTGGACTATTAAAGGCTGTTGATGATAATGATGATCATGAGATCTCACTTGCCAGATGGGTTGATTTAGGGGGGGGTGCTAGCTAGAAAACCTCCCCGTGGTGCACCCTGGAAACGCTGGCGATGGTACTGTTCCCTCCTTGTCCTCTTGGAGGAGAGGATTATCGCCAGCGGCCAATATTCTAGCAGAAGAGGTAGCCGTTCATCGGCTCTCGGGCAAGGCCTGGTCCAGCAGGGTGGGCGTGTCTGCCGGTTGCCCTGCTGGCTCTTCGCTCTTCGGAGCATGGAGGAGGAAACCTTGGTAAAAAACCGGATGGCGGGGCCCTGTAGGGGCCACAGTTTCTCCGCTGACAGCGGTGGAGAAAGGAGGACGGGCTCGGCGTGTACTCACACTACCACCGAGCAGGCAGGGGGACGTAGTCTCCCTGTCAACCGTCGGCATATCGTAATCCCGAGAAGAGCGCTGTGGTTAAGTCTCGCGGCTCTGATCGGGGGCGAGGGTCTTGGCTTAACCGCCCGGACCGCGAGGAAGATAACCTCTCTAAAAAATTCCCCGAATCCCGTGTTCTGGTGCGTGGCCAGGGGATGCATGGCTGATGGGAAGTTCAGTCGCGAGCGCACTCCAAGCCGGGGTACCTGCGGACCCCTCGGTTGGGTTAAAAATTTACGCTTGCCCGGGTAATGGGGGATCTCTGCCCGGGTGGACCTTTAGTTCTCCCCCACTCGTGGGATTTATTATGGAGCATATCACCAAAAATCTAAAGAAACGGCAACCAATAAACAAACAGAAACAGGCAAGCAAAACGGACTCGGAAATAAAAGAGAAGAGGAACAGTGGAGTGGATGGTTCATCCACGGAGGGTGAGATAGCGTCGGGAACGCCTATCTCGGTGGGGCTCCCAGAAGTCAGTCTGACGCTGGTCTCTGGGAGCCGAAGAGCATCGGATCGGCTGCGTTCCGGATCCGCCGCTTCATCGGATGGCGCGGAGGCCATGGAAGCGGAGCGGAGCGACAGCCGGAAACGCGGACGCTCAGGGGACGTGGAAACCGACACGTCCGGCGAAATGATGCCACCAAAGGTGGCAAGCAGCCGCCGAGGGAGGGCACGTAAACCGGCCTCGGTCTCGACCCCGTCAGGCTCCGCGTTCTCAAACGCGGAGTCCTACAGGAGCGTACGAGTGGACGGCGAGGCCGTAGCGGAGGAGGAGATCGCGGATCTCCTGCTCAAGGTTCGGGAGCCGGTGGGGGGAAATGCCCCCCAGGCTCCCGTGTCCGTGCAGGAGAGGGCGAAAGCGGCGGTGGCCGTCATCGACAAGGTGGCCACCAAATCCGTGAACCTTAAGGGCTCGTTTGTGAGGGCCCTTAAGGACTCCTCCTCCGCTTTGTCGGAGGTCGTGGAGGGCCTAGTGGGCGACGTATCGCGCCTACAGGTGGCCAACGAGAAGCTGACGGAGCGGGTGAACGAGCTGAGCGCTCAGTTCGCCCGCTTCCAGGCGAACCTCCCCGAGCGGGAAGCCCCGTCCGCGTCCCAGCCTGCCCCTACCACCAACTCAGGGGCATTTGACTCCCAACTGCGAGAAATCCTCATCGCAGTTGGGAATATGCTGGACGGACGCCTGGCTGGCCTGGAGGCGAGACTGCCTCCTGCGCCGATTATGCGCCCCCCGCTCGCGTCGGCACAGCGGCCTAAGGCCACCGCTCCGACCGCGCTCCCCGTTGTGGGAGGCCGCGTCTCTTACGCGGCGGCGGCGTCTGCCCCTACTCCATCGGCTCCACAAAAGCCGACGAGGAGGGGGGCCAAGGCACCGGCCCAGGCGCCGGCCAAGGCACCGGCTAAGGCGCCGGCCAAGGCACATCTCCAGGCGCCGGCCAAGACGGGGCCTAAAACGGCGCCGAGGAGCGGAGTGGCATTCCCTCCGCTCCCCACTCCGACACCCCTGCCGGGCCCCTCCGCACCTGCCCCCTCCAACGAGGGTTGGCAGGAGGCGAGGGGCTCCAAGAAGTCCCGAAGGCGGGCCAGAAAGGCTGCCCAAAAAGCAGCCCAAGCCCAGCCTTCGCCACCGGTGGCAACGGCCTCTGCAAAGAGGCCGCGGAAGCTGCAGCCGCCCAAAACCGCGGCTGTAGTTGTGACCGTGTCCCCGGAGGCGGCTGACGGCGGGCTGTCCTATGCGGCCGTCTTCAAGAAGGCCCGGGACAGCCTCGCCAACGAGTTTGGGACGGTGGGGGTCAGGATGCGCCTCGCCCAGACGGGAGCTCGAGTTCTCGAGTTCCCTGGGGCTGAAGGCGCAAAGACGGCGGACTCCTTCGCTGAGAAGCTGCGGGGAATATTTGCAGCCACAGATGGTGTCAGGGTCGCCAGGCCTACCAAGTGCGCGGAACTGCGCATCTCGGGCCTGGACGACTCAGTGACGGCCGAAGATGTCCGCGCTGTAATCCGGGAGAAGACGGGGTGCAGCGCGGACAACGTCAGGGTCGGCACCATCCGCCCCGGTCCAGGAGGGCTTGGCGCCGTGTGGGTCAGCTGTCCCGTAGCGTCGGCCAAAGTATTGGCCGACGCCGGCAGGCTGCTCATCGGTTTCGTGAGCGCCAGGATCACAGTCCTGGCGGCGAGACCGATGAGATGCTACAAATGCCTAGCATCGGGACACACGCGCGTCAAGTGCGACAGTTGTTTTGACTGCGGCGGACTGTGTTTCCGCTGCGGTCAACCGGGGCATAAGGCGGCAGAATGCTCTGCCGCCCCTCACTGCCCAGTGTGTGCGGCGGGCAATAAGCCCGCCAATCACCAGATGGGGCAGAGAGGCTGCAAGCCTCCCCGCAGTTCTCGGCAGACGTCGGGGGTTAGCCAGTCGACCCAGGCTGCCTCCGATGTAGTTCGTGCGTCGACGTCGTCGCCCATGGAGGAGGTTGTAGAGACGATCCAGTAATGGATCAAGTCTCCAACCTCCTGGTCCAGACGAACCTGAACCACTGTGCCGCGGCGCAGGATCTCTTCCTGCAAACCATGGCACAGTGGTCGATAGGTGTTGCCGTAGTCGCGGAGCCCTATTCTGTCCCTCCCCGTCCAAACTGGATGGGTGACTGGGACGGCTCCGTGGCAGTCGTCGGTTCCACGACGGCTCATTCCCCGCCCTTGTCGCTAAGAGACAAGGGCACTGGATATGTTGCCGTCGAGTGGGGGGGGATCACCATATATGGTGTCTATTTCTCCCCCAACCGGAGTTTGAACGACTTCGAGGTTTTCCTAACCAGCTTGGAGACCTCGATACGGCGACTAGCGTCTGGGCACGTCCTTGTGCTGGGGGACTTCAACGCAAAGTCCATTGCGTGGGGTTCCCCCAGGACGGACGCCAGGGGCGAGGCCGTGGAGGAGTGGGCGGCCTCGGTGGGCCTCTGTCTTCTAAACAGAGGCTCCACCAACACGTGCGTGCGACAGCAGGGGGGGTCGATAGTGGACCTTTCGTTCGCTACCCCTGCCCTCGCAGCACGAGTAAGGAACTGGTGTGTCCTGGAAGAGGTTGAGACGCTCTCGGATCACCTGTATATCCGATTTGAGCTCTCCCGGACCCAGGACTCCAGTAGGGGTCACGTGGCGCGGCGTTTATCCCGCTTTCCGCGGTGGGCTGTTGCCAGGCTGAACCGGGACCTACTAGAGGAGGCAGCCATAATTCACTCGTGGCTGTCTCCTCAGGCTCCGACCGAGGAGGTCGACGTGGGGGCTGGCCGCTTTCGCGATGCGATTACGCATGTATGCGATGCGGCCATGCCCCGCGTTCGAGGTCGTCGGCCTCCAAGGAAGGAGGTCTACTGGTGGTCCCAGGAGCTGGCGGACCTCCGTGCGGCCTGTACACGTGCCCGGAGGTCCTACACACGCAGTCGGCGGCGTCACCGTGGAGACGGTGAGGAGGACCGGCTTCATGAGGAGTACCGACGGGCGCGGAAAACTCTGAAGCTGGCCATTAGCCGCGCCAAAGAGGAAAAGAGACAGGAGATGCTGGAGGGTCTTAATCGTGACCCCTGGGGTCGCCCTTACCGCGCGGTGCGACAAAAGCTCCGCGCGTCGGGCCCCCCCCTTACGGAGACTCTCCAGCCCAGCTTCCTGCGAGAAGTGGTTGAGGGCCTTTTCCCACAACGAGCGGAACACACTCCCCCGTCGATGGCCTCCCTGGCCGGAGACGACGGGGAGCACGGGGAGGACAATGTTCCGCCCGTCCGGGATTCGGAGGTAGGGGCGGCTGTTCTACGGATCCGTTCCAAGAACACCGCCCCTGGGCCAGACGGGGTACCGGCCCGAGTGCTGGCCCTGGCCCTCAACCACATGGCAGACCGCCTCGGGGAGGTGTTCGACGCTAGCTTGGCGTCGGGACGCTTCCCTGAGTGCTGGAAGAGCGGGAAGCTGGTCCTATTAAGGAAGCCGGGACGGCCTGCCGATTCGGTCGCGGCCTATAGGCCCATCGTGCTGCTGGACGAGGCGGGCAAATTGTTTGAGAGGGTTCTTTCTGCCCGCATCGTCCGGCACATCTGCGAGGTGGGCCCCGATCTGTCGGATGCCCAATTTGGTTTTCGGGCGGGGCGTTCGACAGTCGACGCCGTGTTGCGCCTGAGGGCCGTGACCGAAGAGGCCGTGAGCTGTGGCGGCGTGCTGTTGGCGGTGTCATTAGACATCGCCAACGCATTCAATAGTCTGCCATTCAGCTGCATCAGGGAAGCACTCCACTATCATGGGGTGCCAAAGTACCTGAGGCGGCTGGTGGCAGACTATTTAGAGGAGCGTACCGTCGTGTACGAGGACCGAGAAGGTAATTTGAGGAGTCGGCCCATGTCGTGCGGTGTTCCACAGGGGTCTGTTCTTGGACCCCTCTTGTGGAACATAGGGTACGACTGGGCCCTTCGCGCCGATTTCCCCCCCGGGCTGGGTGTAATCTGTTACGCAGACGATACCCTCGTGACAGCCCGGGGGGCAAACTTCCAAGAGGCGGCGCGCCTGGCCACAGGGGGAGTCTCCCTGGTGGTCGGGCGCATTGAGGCGCTGGGCTTACGGGTGGCCCTAGATAAGACGGAGGCCCTGTTATTTCATGGGCCCCGTCGTGGTCCACCCCCTGGCGCCTCCATCGTGGTCAACTCGGTCCTCGTACCGGTTCGGGCCCAGATGAAATATCTGGGCCTGATCCTCGACGGGAGGTGGCTCTTCGACGAGCACTTCCGACAGCTTGCTCCAAAGCTGGTCGGCGCTGCGTCTGCCCTAGGGCGACTCTTGCCCAATATGGGTGGACCCAGCGTCGTGACAAGACGGCTGTACACGGGGGTTGTCCGGTCAATGGCGCTGTACGGTGCACCGGTGTGGGCGGCGGCTCTGACCGCCCAGAATAGGGTACGCCTCTGGCGCCCTCAGAGGGTAATGGCGGTCAGAGCCATACGCGGTTACCGCACCGTTTCGACGGAGGTGGCATGCGCATTGGCCGGAACTCCCCCGTGGGATTTGGAGGCGGAAGTGCTCGCCGAAGTTTATCGGCGAGTGGCTGACTTCCGGGCGGAAGGCGGATTTCGCCCTCCGCCCGAGGATGTGCGCGAGTGGCGCGAAGCCGCTCGCCGAGCCACGATGGCTCGTTGGTCGTTCCGGCTGGAGACTCCACGCGCTGGCTTCGCCGCCGTGGAGGCTCTCCAGCCGGTCATCGCCGAGTGGGCAGGGCGGCAGCACGGGACCCTTTCCTTCCGACTGACGCAGGTGCTTTCCGGGCACGGTTGCTTCGGAAAGTACCTGCACACGGTCGCTAGGAGGGAACTGAGTCGCGCCTGCCACCACTGCGACTGCAGTGAGGACTCGGCCCAGCACACGCTGGCGGTCTGCCCCGCATGGGCGGCGCAGCGCCGGGCCCTCACTGCAGTCATCGGAGTGGATCTCTCGCTACCGGCCGTAGTACGCTCCATGGCCGGTAGCGACAGTTGTTTTACCGCGGTCGCAACCTTCTGCGAGGTAGTAATCTCGCGGAAGGAGGCGGCGGAGAGGGCCCGGGAGGACGACCTCCACTCGGACCCGATCCGCCGCCGGCGAACCGGGCGGCGGAGGCCCGCCTACCACAGCCTCATGCCGCCCTGAGTGTGGCCGCGGGTGGACGGGGTGGGTTTCCCCTCCACCCGCATTAGTTGGCCAGCCGCGAGGGGGCGGCGTCCGCGTGTGCCGGACGTCGCCTAAAGAGAGGAACATCTACATCGAGACGGAGCCCGCACCAGGAGCGGGCTGGCGCTAGGAGGGGTCCGGATGTCTTAACAACAGCTGTTCCCGGATCCCTCCTGTTACAGGCGCAGAGTGGCACACCGTGTGGTTTTAGTCGGTCCGAGTCCGACACACCACCCCGCCGCAAACCCCGGAGGGGTGACGGTCCGAGGGGATTTCCACACGTTAAAAAAAAAAAAAAAAAAGGGTTTGTTTCAAGTTTTCCTTATCTTTGCAGTGCTTTTGTCCTTCGTAGTTTACTCCCTTAGACGACTCTTACGACACCAAAGGAATAAAAACCGGTCAGGTACGAGTCGAACTCGTGCGCCAAGGGTTCCGTACCTACCCAGATTTTACGTAAAATTTGTAAGTACCAATATTTATCTTAATTTTCAACTTTTTTTATTTTTTGGAATTATTCCTTTATTTGTGCTGTAAGACGCTAAAAAATAAAAAAAGTTGAAAATTAAGGTAAATTTTGGTACTTACAAGTTTTCGCGAAAATCGAAGTTTGCCAAAATCTCTTTATCGTGTTGACTCAGGACCTTGATTTTTATACACCTAAAAGGGACCACAGACCTCAGTATCTGGTATAAATTTCAACTTGCTAGGTCAACCCGATATTGACAAAATCGGTGGTGACACACGGGCAGACGGACAGACGGACAAGAAAGTGTAGTTTTCTATAAGGGTTCCTTTTTTACCTTTTCAGGTACGGAACCCTAAAAAGGGGTGGTGACACAGCGTATTCTTAATCTGTCACCACACGGATTAAGATAGCAATTACAATTTAACTCATTTAGGAGTAGAAAAGGCACTTACTATTTTTTTCAACTGATGAAAATTGTTTTACAGTCCTTTAAACGTTGGGCCAGTAATCAATAGAAGCACGCCCTCTCTCTATGGGAAAATTATTCGCTGCCAATGTTATCATCATCATCATCATCATCAACTACCTTTAGCAGTCCACTGCTGGACATAGGCCTCTCCTTAGAAAGAAGGTTATAGGTTGTTTTAAAGGACTCCAAATTATGGCGTTTATAGCATGCCATACTCTCCAAAACTGAGCATAAATTATAAATTAATGGATACAGATCCGGACTAGATGACGGCCAGTCTTTAACGGTGATGAAGTCAGATACGTTCGTTTTTAAACATGCTTGTGTGGATAGAGCTTTATGACTCGGTACCGAGTCTTTCTGAAAGGACTAATCTTGGTTATGGAATATGGTGTTGTTAAGAGGTTTACACCTTTTTCACAAAAATATGTTTCAGTCGCTTCTTGATAGCTAACACAACACCAAACGATCACTGAAGTCAATTAGTGACCATGTTCTACTCTGCTAACTTATTGAGAATCTTCTATAAAGCTTTGAGAATAAACCCGGTCATCTGATTTGTTAAGACATTGCTCAATAGTAAAAAAGATCTCGTCAGTAATTATTTTTTTCTGTAACCTCCCTTTGCGTAGCGTTTAAGAAGTTGTTTTGGATTAGCACCGTATTCATTTTTACCGATCACTGAAGTCGAATAGTGACCATGTTGTTGTACCGCTCCAATCATGCCGGCCGTTGCCACCCTGGACGGACGTACGGCTTTAATGTCTTCTCAAATATTTTTTTCTGGATGCAAGAAGCGCAAAAATGATTTAAGTGGCGTGCAATAGGAGAGGCCTATGTCCAGCAGTGGACTGCGACAGGCTGATGATGATGAAGATGATTCATTTTTAAATTATCAGCTAAATAATGACCAGCTCTTATAGACTGCAAGTCTTAAGTCATCCTTTAAAATACCCGACATTATTCTACGTGCTACATTCATTTTCCGATATAAAATTTTTTGCTTTCGGAAAGGATTCCTTCGAATTATTTCCATCACTGCTTTGATCACCTTTTTCGTACGAATACTACGTTGACGGCCCCCATCTTTGTTTGTCACAAAACGGTTTTATTGTACCTATCAATAGCGCGTACACAAACTTTCGACTAATACCCAGCGGATGGACTGATTAAAAAAATGTATTTGGCACCTATTTTGTATGATGCTATTACAGCAATTCGATTCAAAACAATGAATATTCATATAAAATGACAAATTCCAAATTTAAATGTAATATGTTTTTTTTTAATTGCAGTTGCAATGGACAGATTAAAAATTGTATTTGGCACCTATTTTGTATGATGCTATTACAGCAATTCGATTCAAAACAATGAATATTCAAATAAAAATGACAGATTCCAAATTTAAATGGAATATGTTTTTTTTTAATTGCAGATGTATTTAGTAAATTAGTTGTTTCTCAATATCTAATATGTTGTTGCAAAAATAAAAATTTCTCGATTGGAATAATTTAATGTATATTCTTCGAAGAACTATATGTAGAACATCATCATCATCATCAACAGCCTATACTAGTCCACTGCTGGACATAGGCCTCTCCTTAGAAAGGAGGTTTTGGCCTACTATACCACGCTGGCCAGACGGGTTGGTATAGGGTTTGTTTCAAGTTTTCCTTCTCTTTGCAGTGCTGTTGTCCTGCTTAGTTTGCTCCTTTAGTCGGCTCTTACGACACCCACGGGATGAATTGGGGTGGTGACAATTTGTATTCTTAATCCGTCACCACACGGACTATATGTAGAACATTGTACTTAATATATCTAAATATATAGGAAGTGGGTTTGTATGTACAGATATCAACCCCAGATCTAAATTACATTTAACATGAAAATTTAATCGGCCCGTTATTGAAACGCGTGGGATCGGCAGACGTGAGAATGTTACCGCGGGGGAGTATTATCAAAACTGAGAACATTACCCGCGTACAATACCGTATAATATAACACACGCTATCTATTTATAGCAGGTTTTCAATATTATCTGGTATAGTAATAATTTAATTTTTCAAATTGTACTCTTAGATACTGCATCTAAGAGTACAATTTGAAAAATGACTTTACAAACTATTTCCATCAAATAAAAGTGCTCTAGATAGCTGTACTTTTAGCCTTTAATTGGAAAAATACGTCAACCTTTAGTCTGTCTAACCATATAACGTATAGTCAATATATAGTATACGATTTAAACAGAGTACAGAAAGTTACATTTTACCATAAAGAAGTCAATCTCGCACCTTGCGGGATTATAAAAATTTCGACTTTACATACTCTTATATTGGTACTTCTCCACTCCACTCGCATTTTAAGAAACTGTTTATATTGTACAACAAACCAGTGGAACAAATTGTAGCCTATCTTCGGACGGAGACGACCTCCAAATTCACAAGAAAGAGAAGATCGTACTCGTACCACAAGAGGCTGTCAACGCACTTGTAAACCCCCGTCCCTCTGATTCAGGGGGTAGGACTTTCGGGGCACCAGGGACTTCCTTTCTAGGGTATACCTCCTAAAAAAAGGGGGTAGGACTTATAGGATAGCAACAAACTTGTCATTCTTAAGTTGTAGGTGTCCATGGGCTACTGTAGTTACTTTTCACCTGGTGATCCATGTACTCGTATAACCCTATATTATAAAAAAAAACAAAGCAATAAAGAAGTTTTTAAAAATCTGTGTTGCATAAAATAAACTAGACGAACGAATATTTAAGGAAACATTGATAGAAAATAAATAAACAGAAAAAATATTCAAATTTTAAAAAAACAGTAACAACGAAAATAGTCGTATGTAGGATGTTTTTAAGTATTCTTGTAGTGTGGTAAATAGGAATACCACAACCCCTATCCGTCCCGTGGGTGTCGTAAGAGCCTATTAATAAAGCAAACTATGCAGAACAATAGTACTGCAAAGAGAAGGAAAACTTGCTTGGTAGGCCAAAGTCCCCTTTCTAAGGAGAGGCATACGAGTATGTCCAGCATTAGACTATTAAAGACTGCTTATGTGATATCTCATTTCTTTGACTATGTATCCGCCATCATGTTTGTAGCAGTTTTCTTTTAAAGCTGATTTTCTTTCATCCCCGGAATTGGCCTCCAGAGATATTTGGCCTATAAATGTACGAAGTACGGATATTTACGGCGTAACTTGAGTGCTTACCTTACTACTAACTTACTACATGTGTATATAAAAGGTTCAATCCACAACGGTATCGATTTGAGTAACTTATATAGTAGGAGAAAATTCGCTGCTTAGTTTAAAAGATGTAAGTGTTTACTATGTATATGTATATATATTATACTATGTAAAGATGTGGAATGATTCCCACTCTAGTCAAACATTTGTGTGCATCAACATTTAGTGTTTAATTTGGTCTGGGTGTTTCTATGTCTAATATGTATGTAGTTACAAAAATAAAAGTATATATGCTCTAGCTTTAACTCTGCTTAGTTTGGGACTAGTTGTGTGAATGTGGTAGAATATTACATTACTATTATTATTGTAATGAAACGTCACTTTATTTCACTGATACGAAACTTAGCGTATCCAACAGCTCCTCCTCCTCCTCCTCAAGAACTCCTCCAATTTTCTTCTGATTAATTTCGTTGCGGGTTCCAAGACAGTTTAATTTCTTCCTGGGACTTCCCGAGTTTCATAACTCGGTGTGTTCGTGGGTCACTGCTGTGGATCCTGGTGTACAGGAGTTACAGTGGTGGGCGTGTGGGTGGGATTAGTATCTAACAGCTACTATCAGTAAACGAATCCTTTCCCTCTCACCTTTGATTAACACCTGTGCATCTGGAGTTTGAAGGGTAGAGGCAAGGAGAACCATCTCTCTGTATGAAAAGTGTCCGTAAAAACTCGTCCAATCAGAGACGCCCTGCGGTAACCTAGGCCAAAATTTTATTGGCCTAAGTAATAATTAGACACTGTGTACTAGATTGCGAAAATAGTCGTCACTGAGTTTTACAGACAATAAATAAACGTGTAATA